AAATGATACCAACTCTCTAGTAGAAATAACAGGTAAAACCTTTCCAAAGATGGTTAAAGACATAAATTAAAAAATTCAAGAATTTCAGCAGCGCCTGTAGATCAGTGGGTAGGGCACCAGCCACATACTCTGAGGCTACCAGGTTGGAACCCAGCCCTGGGTCAGCTGAAACAACAATGACAACTGCAACAACAACAAAAAATAGCCAGGTGTGGGCACCTGTGGCTCAAAGAAGTAGGGCACCAGCCCCACATATTGGAGGTGGCGGGTTCAAGCCCAGCCCTGGACAAAAACTGCAAAAAAACAAAAGGGATGCCCCTGTTAAAAAAAAATAGCCAGGCATTCTGGCTGGCACCTGTAGTCCCAGCTACTTGGGAGGCTGAGGCAAGAGAATTGTTTAAGCCCAAGAGTTGGAGGTTGCTGTGAGCTGTGACGCCAAAATAAATAAAATAAAACTTTAAAAAAATAAAAAATAAAAGATTTATATACCAATGTCTATCTTAATATGGTATTTAAATGATAAATGTCCACCGGAAAACACTTACTATTGTTACTAGAAAAGCTTTAAGTTTTAAATAAACTAACATTTATCTTAAAATGTAAGTAAAGGTCATAAAAATAAGAAAGGCAACTAGCCTAAAAGCCATTTGTTACTCTATTTCCTCTTTCACTTTCCTTCTACTGAAGTTTCAAGGCTAGTTATATTTGTGGGAAAAATTGGTTTGATGCAGACAGGTCCTGTGTTCTTTTGCCTTAGAGACTTCAAAGAATATGTGGACTAAGCCAGAAAAGTAGGAAGTGTCAATGGCAAAGTGTGGATTTAAATGGTGCATATTAAGTGGACTGAAATGGACTTCTCAAAAAATGACATGCAGAGTAGATTATAATATGCAATTCTCGCTATTCTGTGAACATTTTAGGAAACTCTGCTTCAGTCCCATACCCTATTGCACTAAACAGAAATGACAAGTGAATTTTCTTTTTTTTCTTTTGTAGAGACAAGACTCTCACTTTATCGCCCTCAGTAGAGTGCCCTGGTGTCACACTGCTCACAGCAACCTCCAAATCCTGGGTTTAGGCGATTCTCTTTGCCTCAGCCTCCTGAATAGCTGCGACTATAGGCGCCTACCACAACGCCTGGCTATTTTTTTGTTGCAGTTTGGCTGGGGCCAGATCTGAACCTGCCACCCTCAGTGTATGGGGCCGGCACCCTACCCACTGAGCCATAGGCGCCGCCCGACAAGTGAATTTGACAAGTGAATTTTCAAAACAGTTATAGAATTAAATATGTTCTTAATTCTATATAAAAGTCAATATCAGGCTCGGCGCCTGTGGCTCAAGCAGCTAAGGCACCAGCCACATACACCTAAGGTGGTGGGTTCGAATCCAGCCCAGGCCTGCCAAACAACAATGATGGCTGCAACCAAAAAATAGCCGGGCATTGTGGCGGGTGCCTGTGGTCCCAACTACTTGGGAGGCTGAGGCAGGAGACTCGCTTGAGCGGTTGCTGTGAACAGTGAAGCCCTGGCACTCTACCCAGGGGGACAGCTTGAGACTCTGTCACAAAAAAAAAAAGTCAATATCAGCTTAAGTAAACTTCTCCTCTGTACAAATGCTGTCATATATACATATATATATATGTTAAAAGGCTATTTAGTAAACAACTCAAAAATCTGTGTTTAGCACATACAAATCCAGTCCCTTTGTACTAAAGGCAACTACTGGTTATTACATGATCAATGGCTTAGGCACTAAAGTCAGATTTTAGTTGCTATGAACATCAATCATTTTTAAAATCTGGTACAACTGACAGTTCTTTGTATCTTTAAAATTGTTGCTAACATTCATTCTCAGAGACATTCAATTTTTGGATTTACTATATTTAATCTTAAGAGAATATTTTTGGAAAAATATATGCCAAGCAGACATGAATGCCAGATAATATCCTGATAAACATCCTCTAATGACAAAGCATTTTTAGACCTTACACTTAGAGGAAGATGAACAAAACTAAAATTTCAAATCTACCTGCCTCAGAAACAGGATTATGGATGATTTTTTTAAAGCCGATTTTCCACTTTCTGTATTATTATGATTCTCTAGTTTAAAAGAAAAAAATGTTAGAAATTGCTAGCAGCAGTTTCCTCTGGGGAGAAAAACTGCATGGATAGAAAATAGAAAAAAGACCTTTTGCATTTTACATAGTACATGTTGAAATATTTATTTTCCTAGGGAGATGGTGGAAGGGAAATTTGGGTAAATAATAAAAAAATGAGGTATTTCAATTTTTAACAGTTGTCTTTTTAATAGCTGGAATCAAACTTAGGAACTTAGAATATTTAAATTGTTGTCTTTCATGACCTGCTGGCTTTCAAAACTCAATGCAGTTTTTCCATAAATTTATACCTTAGAGAAAAATTCCACTTATTATTAAAATGAACAAAAGTAGCTGGGAATGGTGCTGTAATCCCAGCACTTTGAGAGGCTAAGGAAGGAAGATCACTTGAGGCCAGGAGTTCAATATCAGCCTGGGCAACACAGCAAGACCCTCATCTCTAAAAACAATTTTTTTTTTTTTTTAATGAACAGTAGTGTAATAGTTAAACTTGACTTCCTCAGTTCCCAAGGGCCATTTACATAAGCAGGGGCAAGTGCCTAAAGTTCTGACATACCTGAAGGAGAAGAAAGCCACCACCTACTGCAGTTGCTGCAAGCTTTCCAACCTTCTGGAACAAAAATCCTGCACACCTTTAATGAAAGAAATAACAAAAGATGAGAATAATCAATGATATGCTAAACCCTCTACCTCTTCTACTTTTCATTGGTTTCCAGACAAAAGCTGAATGTTTTCCCATTTCTTTTGATCATGTCCCCTACCTGTTCAGAAACCTTTAATATTTCCCTTCAATTATACTGGAGAGTAAAAAATGCACAATCTAAAATGTCCGAGATTTGCTTCAAAATAAAGGACAGAAAGAAGAGGAAGAGACTTTATAGGAAAAAAAAGAGACTACTAAAAACAAAATGATAAGTACTCAGGGGTTCATCATACTCCTACTTTTGTATTAAGGAAGTTGATTTGTTTTGCTTAACATAGTCAAGATGTTTCATACACCTGGCCAACCCCAACCCTACCCAAACCTTTGGCTCCAACACAATTAGTTTCCAAATAGGTCATCACCTCTGCTCAAGCTATTAAACTCCCTGCTTCTAAGTGTTTCTGCCTTTCTCTGCCTATCAAAACCTTTCCTACTCTTTAAAGTTCAGCTGCAGTTTCACCTTAGAGACCATAATTTAAGCTCACTGCCTGTGGCTCAGCGGCTAGGGCACCAGCCAGATACACCGGAGCTGGTGGGTTCAAGCCCAGCCCGGGCCTACCAAACAACAATGACAACTACAACCAAAAAATAGCTGGGCAATGTGGCAGGTGCCTGTAGCCCCAGCTACTTGGGAGGCTGAGGCAAGAGAATCGCTTAAGCCCAAGAGTTTAAGGTTGCTTTGAGCTGTGACACCACAGCACTCTACTGAGGGTGACATAGTGAGACTCTGTCTCCTACTAAACCTGTTTTGTGTCTCATCTATCCTGTAAGAGTACCAGCCTACATTTTGGGGATTAATTCTCTCCTTAAGAGAGCTCACATTCCCTTCAGTATTCTAGCTGCATACCATGCAAAAGAAGCCCTGATTTCTAACTCCAGCCTTCTGCACTGAGTCGAATGTTTCCCCCACCTCCAAAATTCATGTCCTTCCCAGAAGTTCAAAATGTGACCTTCTTTGGAAAAAAGGGTCACTGCAGTGGGAATTAGGTAAGATGAGATCAGACTAGAGCAGGGTAGGCCCTTAATCCAATATGACACACAGACTCACAGAGAGAAGATAACCATGTGACAACAGAGGCAGAGACTGGAGAGAGATGTCTACAAATCAAAGAATGCCAGGGATCGCTGGCAATCACCAGAAGCAAAGAGAGAAACATAAAACAGATTTCTCTCCCTCTAAGTTTTCAATAAGGAACCAGCCCTGTTGACACCTTGATTTCAGACTTCCACATCTATAATTGCCAGGAAATAAATTTGTTATTTTAATCAACCTAGTTGTGGTACTTTGTTACAATTGCCTGAGGAAACCAATAAACCTCCCTAAAAGGAAAATTTACATTTAAAAATCACACAACAGGCTTCTTTAGCATCCAGACAGGGTGGCTCATGCCTGTAATCCCAGTACTTGGGAGGCCGAGGTGGGTGGACTGTCTGGCCTCCCAGAGCTCACAGGTTCAAGACCAGCCTGAGCCAGAGCGAGACCCCCATCTCTAAAAATAGCCAGGTGTTGTGGAAGGCACCCATAGTCCCTTACTTGGCAGACTGAGGCAAAAGAATCGCTTAAGCCCAGGAATTTGAGGTTGCTGTGAGCTATGATGCCAGAGCATTCTAAAGAGGATGACAAAGTGACACTGTCTCAAAAAAAAAAAAAAAAAGTTCCGAAGCAAATATCATCTTTCCAGCCAAACCAACTCTTGCCACCTTATATTCATCTCAGACTATGCCTTCTTTATCCTTGGTACAACTGATTGCACAGTTCTATATACTCTATCCAAAGATTACTTGACTCTATCGTTTCTTTTCCATTCCAAAGGCCATCATGACTTTCCTTTCAGACCACTCTAAGGGCCCTCTATTGATCTTCACACCTCCCATCTCTCCTAGCAACTACTCATCCTGACTGATATTAGTTTTAATTTCTTTTTTTTGTTTGTTTGCTTAGGCTTGAGACAGAGTCTCAGGCTACTGCCCTGGGTAGAATGTTGTGGTGTCACTGCTCACAGCAACCTCAAATTCATGGGCTTAAGCAATCCTCTTGCCTCAGCCTCCCAAGTAGCTGGGACTATAGGCACCCGCCACAATGCCCGGCTATTTTTGGTCTCAGTTGTCATTGCTGTTTAGCTGGCCAGGCCAGGTTCGAACCTGCCAGCCTCAGTGTATGTGGCTGGCACATGATCAAAACTCTATAGCTACCCACAGCTAAATAAAATCTCCTCAGCCTCTTATTCCTGTCTTGAATTGGAATGAATCGTTAACTGGTTAAGTTAATGCCTGTTAAACTGTTTCTCCTTAACATATACAACAATATCACATCAATTTTATACCCTAAGAAAATGGCTAACATTTGTTATACTGAAACTAGTGATTGTAACAAATCACATATATAATATTAAGAGTCACAGCTCTTAAGCCAACATCTGATAATAATCCAAATGTATATATAGTAAGCCCTCTGCATCTGCAGGTTTCACACTCACAGATTCAACCAAGGATACCTAAAATATTCAGGGGAAAAAAACAACAAAAAATAATAATACAGGCTGGGTGTGGTGGATCACATCTGAGAGGCCAAGGCAGGAGGATCATTTGAGCTCAAGAGTTCAGAGACCAACCTGAGCAAGAGTGAGACTCTGTCTCTACAAAAAATAGGAAAATTATCCAAGCATAGTGGTATAGATCTGTAGTCCCAACTACTCAAGAAGCTGAGGCAGGAGTATCTCCTGAACCCAAGAGTTTGAGGTTGCAGTGAGGTATGATCATGCCACTGCCCTCAGGCCCAAGCAACAAAGCAAGACCCTGTCTCAAGAGGAAAAAAAAAAAATTATATATATATATATATATATATATATATATCTGTGTATATACATGTGTGTATATATAGAGAGAGAACACAATAAAAAATAATACAAATAAAAAAATTCAGGATAACAACTATATATATGACATTTACATTGTATTAGTTATCATAAGTAATTTAGAGATAATTTAAAACATGCAGGAACTGTGTGTATGGCTCAGCACCTGTGGCTCAAGTGGCTAAGGCGCCAGCCACATACACCTAAGGTGGCGGGTTCAAATCCAGCCCGGGCCTGCCAAATAACAATGATGGCTACAAACAAAAAAAAATAGCCGGTCACTGTGGCGGGCACCTATGGTCCCAGCTACTTGGGAGGCTGAGACAGGAGACTCACTTGAGCCCAGGAGTTGGAGGTTGCTGTGAGTTGTGATGCCACAGCACTCTACTCAGGGGGACAGCTTGAGGCTCTGTCTCAAAATAATAATAATAATAAAGACAGGAACTGTGCATAGGTTATATCCAAATACTACACCATTTTATATCAGGGGTTTGAGCAACCCCAGATTTTGGTATCTATGGGGGATAGTGTATGGAATGGGTGCTGGAAATCAGTCCCCTGCTGCATTACTATAAAGGACATGTCCCTCAATAGGGAAGTCAGCAACAAAGGCTCAAAAAGAAAACAAAAGGGGCAAGCAGCAATCAGGTTTCTGCAATATTCCTGGGAATGTGCTCCACAAGCACACGGATCCATTGCATGATGGCATTAGTTCCTAAAATGAACCTACTAACTCTTGCTGATCTGTCTCTAGGCTTTCAAGCAAACTTCTGCCTATTATCAGGCTTCTTACCAAGTCTGGTCTATAAGAAAAAACACACAATGATTGGTAATTCCATTTCTCAACTTTCTTTTAGTCTCTTTTAAAACTGGGCACTGGGGCGGTGCCTGTGGCTCAGTGGGTAGGGCGCCAGCCCCATATACGGAGGGTGGTGGATTCAAACTCGACCCCGGACAAACCGCAACAAAAAAATAGCTGGACGTTGTGGTGGGTACCTGCAGTCCCAGCTACTGGGGAGGCTGAGGCAAGAGAATCACCTAAGCCCAGGAGTTGGAAGTTGCTGTGAGCTGTGACGCCTCTACCCAGCACTCTACCCAGGGCGATAAAGTAAGACTCTGTCTCTAAAAAAAAAAAAAAAAAAAATAGAATGGGCATTAGACCCTGAACTCACAATGACCAATCACCTGTAGCACCAAATTTGAGCTTAAGCAGAGGAGGGCCATGTCTTGAATCATAGGGCTTGCGGTACAATGAGCCTGGCAAATCAGTTGCATAACCAAGCCCCTGACAGGCATCTCTCCTCTAACTGCATACAGCAGCATTACTAAACACACGAGTAAAAATATTGCACCTCTGCATGACAGAATCCTCACAATGAGAGTTTCTATCACAAAATGGCATTTACAAAAAGGCATAAAAGAGTGTGCCATTGTGCCAAAGTGCATGTGAATCACAAATTGAAAACTTCAATTTTATACTTATCAAGTGGAAATACATAAGTATCTAAATTAAATCAATGTAAGATAAATTTGACTTAGAATCTAGGAAAAAATAATTATTCATTCACAAGTTAAGCCCCTAACTTCAAAAATTCTCTAGAGTCATGAACGTTTTTAAAATAAAGGGTCAAATTTGTTCTTGCCCCTTGTTACCTGGCTAGCCTTTTATTCCAGGAGCAACAGAATTAGAGTCATTGTAGCAATTCTGTAATCACGTGGTTTGAAAAGGTAACCGGTTTAAGCTAATACTTATTAACCACTTCTTAACGTACTACACAATAGTGTTACAAAGTAAGCAATGAGAGTTTTAATTCCAACACAGAACCAATGTTCTTCTACAGCTAGTCTTCAAAGCATATCATAAACTGACTATAATTTTTACTGAGCATTTTACACTGCTCCCTACAGAGCTGACAATCAGACAGAGGCCAGTTCTACTGTGGGAGTTTCTCAGGTTTTTCCAGTTGTCAGCAAGTAAAAATTTACATATAATTAGCACATATACGTACTTCTTCCTATCTACCATCACTGAATCAGATCCACTACATTTGCCGAACTTGACAAAAGGGGGAAATATACAACGAATGAAAAGAAGGGTGAGAAGAGAGGAATGAAGCCAAACCGTGGGTGGGCAACGGGGAGCCTTTGAACGTAAATTACACCTCAAAGTAGCACTCTTCTGGAATTAACAACGTAGGCCCACTGAATGTGCATGGTGGCTCTGGCCCATGTATAAAAGGACAGCAGTCAGGCCCCCAAATGAAATTTAATGAAAAAAATGTTATTCTCACCAGCCAGTCACGCCACCCATTACAATCTGGGTAGCTACTGAGTATTTTTCTACCATTGGTCCGGAACTGTGGCCAAACACTCGATTCCACCAGTGGTGTCTTCTTGCATACTCAGTTAAATCCAACACTTCGTAAGAGTCGTCATCACTTTCATAGTCTTCAAAATACAAAATGGGAAAAATAAATTTAGAGTCAATCAAAACTCAGAAATGTCCCATACATTCTTTTTTTTTAAAATCTGTCACAACTCATTGTTACTTTTGGTGTACAGCTAAAAATGCCCACATAGAAACTGAGTTTATTAAACTCAGTTCCTTAGACGAGGGCCTCAAGAGTAAAAGGGCTTGGCACCAATGCCCTCATCTCCTTTCCTAAGGCCTAAGGACCAGGTCGTGGAGGCAGGGCCAGATTTTAAACAGCAGTGCGGGGTCATCCCCCAAATATCAGTAAGCTCAAGGTCAGAGCAGGGTCCATTTTTATCCCGGGGGGAGGGGTCCTCTGAGAGAACCGGTCAGAAGCCAGGCGAGACGAATCACTTCAGAGTCACGAGTATTAAAAAAATAAATAAATGGATAAATTTGAAGATGGAGATGTAGGGACAGAGGTGAAGGTAAGACAGGAGGTTGCGCTGTGTTCAGGGTGGGAGTCGCTCTCCGCCTGAGTTCCTCAGAGAGGGAAGGGGAAAGTACAGCTCGAAAAGGGTGATCAAAGGGGCTACCTCAAAAAAAGAAAATAATACAGTTCCAGGAATCCTGGGGCAGGGAAAGGAAAAGGCGCCCCGGGAACAAAGTCGAAAGCTGTGAGCCGCCGCGTCCCAGATACCACTTTGGACCCTGGCCGCTCACCTTGGGGAGGGGGATTCCGGGTCGCCATGATACCGCCGGCGGCCTGCTGGGGTGGTCCCTACCCACCCACCTCTCCCCTGCACTTTAAGGGCCGCTCTAGGCCGAGATAAAAAGTCTATGGTTTCTTTTTTCCTCCTCCTCTTTCTCCTGGCGCGTTGTCCCGTCCCCGCCCCCTTCCCTTGGCCGATGATCTTCCGCGCAGGCGCAAGATCGGGGCGGGGAGAGGGGCTGGCTCTCAGCCTCGCGAGGGCTTATGGGAGTTGTAGTCCGTTACCTTCTGCATCTTTGGAAGGGTGCAATCATTCCACCTAGAATTTCCATAACTTGAATTCCGTTATTTTCTTTTTAAAGTCTCAAGGCTAGGTCAATGGGTTGACGGGTGCCGCTTGGTGGTATAAAGGATAAACCAGCTTGATACTGACACAGACGCTCCTTGACTAAACTTTAGTCAGGAGCCTCTTCTGAGCTCTCTTTTTGACTAAGCCTCCTTCTTGGGCCATCTTTGGCTTGCTTAGTCCAGTTGTAGCAAGAATCCTGTAAGTCGGCTCGGCGCCTATAGCTCAACCGGCTAAGGCGCCAGCCACGTACACCTAAGGTGGCCGGTTCGAATCCCCAGCCCAGACCCGCCAAACAAAAATGACGGCTGCAACCAAAAAATAGCCGGGCGTTGTGGCGGGCGCCTGTGGTC